CAATGAGCGCTAAATGCCATGAATTCATCAGACACGATTTTCTGTCGGATCAGAGGAAGAATTGGATTCAGTGTGTCTACGGCTACTGTGACTTCTTATGTGAAGAAATCAATATCTTTAAGATGAGTTTCATGTGTCATGGATTACAAAAGTTACTCCCATGAGTCATGCGTTTAGTTAAGTTAGTCAAAACTTTCGCTACTGCAAACTGTACGGGAGACGGGCTCTTCACCTGTGTGACTTTTGAGGTGTTTATTTAAAGAGGTTTTTCCAGTAAAACTTTTGCCACATATTGTGCAGGACAAAGGTTTCTCATCAGTGTGAGTTATCATGTGTGCAGTTAAACTACGTTTTACAGCAAAGCTTTTTCCACAAACTGTACAGGTGAAAGGCTTCTCACCTGTGTGAATTCTGATGTGTTCAGTTAACCTACAATTTTCATTAAAAGTTTTGCCACAAACTGTACAAGAGAAAGGCTTCTCACCTGTGTGAATTCTGACGTGTTTTTTTAAAGAAGTTCTTCCAGTAAAACTTTTGCCGCACATCATGCAGGAGAAAGGCTTCTCACCAGTGTGAGTTATCATGTGTGCAGTTAAACTACATTTTACAGAAAAGCTTCTGCCACAAACTGTACAGGGGAAAGGCTTCTCACCTGTGTGAGTTCTGATGTGTTTATCAAGATTAGATTTGTGAGTGAAGCTTTTTCCACAAGTGTTGCAAGAAAAAGGTATTTCATCAGAGTGAATCTTGAAGTGTTCAGTCAAACTACTTTTTATAGTAAAACTTTTGCCACAAACTGTACAGGAGAAAGGCTTCTCGCCTGGGTGAATTCTGATGTGTTTATAAAGAAGAGATTTCCTTTTGAAACTGTGTGGACAGGACAGACATTTGAATTTCTTCTCAACAGAGTGAACTTTAATGTGTTTTTTAAGGTCAGATTTATAAGCGAAACTGTTTCCGCAGGACAGGCATTTGAAAGGCTTCTCACCTGTGTGAATTCTGATGTGCTTATTAAGGTGAGATCTGTA